TTCTCCTCTCCATCTTTTGCCCCCTGACTGGAGACATTTCCTGGAGACAGCAGGAATTACTTTAGATCTGTATCCAGCTATCCTAATAGTTAGTCTTAATTTCATATTGTTGTCATCTGGCAACGAACTCACTCGCTGAACACTGAACAGTTTGGCACTGGATTCTTCCACCAGTGCTTTTTATATAAATTATTTGGCATGGAGATGGTTTTTTGAGTGTGCGTGTTGTGAACTTGCAATGGAACAGAAATAGGACTGTCAGAAGGAAACAGGGTAAGGAGAATTCTCCTCACTAAATTACTGAAAGCTCACAAACTCTTTAAAAAGGTCATGCTGTACTTTTTTGTCCAAGATAGGAGAGCTGTAAGCACCCAAATATTTTTCATTCAAGAATTTTCTTGCAGAAAATTACTACTTCTCCAAGCAGAAAGGGGACAACTACAAGGTGGATTAATTTAATGTGGCTTTAATTCAACTTCATTCAGAGTAACTCAGCAATAGGTTATTGATTACTTGAATTTATAATTACAGTCAGGTTATTTACCACAGTGGCAGTGAACCAATCCACAGACACTGCACCATAATTACTGTGGGGGAAGAAAGGCTTCCCTGTGCCCTGGTATTAAAGAATCTCAGTGTTCCTGTTGGACTGAGAAGAAGCCAGTGCCTCTGCCTGTCTTGACAAAACAGCAAAGTTTGGGTGTCAGAAAGTTAAGGTTGGTAGTGGCTGTCTCTGTGCAATAAACAGTAAATAGGAAGCTCTGGATAACAATGCTTTCCAGAGCTTTTACCAAAGTAGCTGATAATTTGATTCCCAGTTTGAGATCACTTCATTGGCTGCTTGCAGCATGTTTTCCTAATTTTATAACACTTCCTCCATGGACACCAAAGCTTTTATGGTAGTTTTAAATTGTCATTGAGTTAAAAAAAGACAAAAAAGCTGGAAATGACCACTCCAGAAGCAGATTCACTACAAAGGCAAATAATGTTTCTTACCATGACCCCATATTTTCCATGGACTCCAGAGCTCTCTGTCACCTGATGGCTCTTTCAATTTTACAAGAATAACTGTTGGTATCTAATTAACAGCCAAATCAAAACCAGTATCAGCACAGACCTTCTGTGAAAACACTTTTTAATTCTATATCCAAATATTTTGACTTCCTTCAAGGTCTTTGTGTATGCAGCCCTGGCAGCCTGTTCAGCAAGGTGCTTTTGCACACTCCAGCTGGGCAGTGTTCTAAAGGACACACTTAAAAGTGAACACATGGGTTGGGACTTAAAAATTTTATTGAACTTAAATGACCTGATGAATCCAGAGCCCTGGGTTCAGTGAGTACAGGACATGCTCCATTTCCTTGGCTGTCATTTTGGAACCTTTGCAAACCATAAAGGTTGTAAAAGAGCATGTAAAATGTGTTTTCAAGGCTTGAATTCTGAAGGTGACAGTGATTTCCTGACAAAAAGGCCTTTGATAGGTTTGTAGAGGACTTTCTCTTCTGATCTTGTTGTGCAGTTTTCTGTGGTCCATTCCTGCCACATGGTGTGACAAATGTCAACTGCATATTGTTCAGCAGAGTAGAGTTTTTTTAACCACATGCTAATTCTCCGACAGATGGACAGGATTTTGCTCCCTGTGCTATTTCTGTCATGCACTTCAAATGCTCAAAAATGTCAGAGAGGCTTATGGGGATAGGTATGTTTGTGTTCCCACTCTGAAATGGAGTGAGGGCACATAAAGATCCTCCTGGTCTACCCAGACTGTCCAGAAATTAATCTGTCTGTGTGTGTGTGAGCAGGGATACGTGACCCTGGGCTGGGCTGTCCCTGGGGCTTTGTTCCCTGCTGGGACTTGATGGTTTATCTGTGGACTCTTCCACTGCAGCTGAAGGCAATTCCCTCATGTCCAGTGTCCAAACTGGCTGGAAGTTGTCCTTGAGATATCAGAAGAAGGGATCAGCTGGTGGTTTTGATATCTGAGATTCTGAAAGTCCAGTGATTGAATTAATTAGACTGATGTGGGATAAAATATGTTTGATTTACCAAAGAACCAGTCTCTTGCACGGTGTATGACAAATCATGTATTCCTTACAGCCAGACTGATCACAGCTACCCACATGGATAATCAAATTCCTGCCAGCTGTTGGGTTTTTTTTTCAGGCAGAGGTAACAGTGGTCAGAACCTCTGCTTATGGCTTTAGATTACTTCCAAAGTGTCAAAAGAGCGTTAGAAATACCTACAAAATTTCCCTTGCTATGGCTAGAAAATAAATGACTAATCCTTCTGGTGGCCCTTGGGAACACAAGGCACACCACACTACTATTTTCAGTAAGGGCTGTCCTGGTACTGTTTGATGATAAAATTTTCAGCTGTTTTCCCTAAGTTTAGCAGTACTTTAATAATAAAATAGGATTTAAAGTTGTTAAGCGTTTCGTAAATCTCCTTTTCTAGAGCAAACATGTATTAATGTTTCTGCAGTCAAGCGGTGACTGTTCTTATTAGGACCAGCTGCAGGTGATAAATGAACGTGGCTCCATCCCCTCTGTGGAGTTGCAGCACTTTACATCAGTGGATAATCTGACACAGAAATATTACAGTGATGTTAAAATAGACCCCTCTCAATATATTGTGTTATTCCAGACAAAATAACAGAGGCTTACACTGTGTGAATTTGTATTCTGTTATAAAAACCCTTCACTGGAAAAGGATTGTTAACGATGGAACTCGTCAGCCTTCAAATTCAGAACGTATTGACTGTGGTGAGGCAGGAATTGAGATTCCTGTTGGAGCTGCAGTGGAATAGTTTCTCGTGCCACCCAGAGCACAGCCCAAGTAATTGGGCTTAGTGACGGCAGTTCTGTTGGGTGAGAGGTGGAAGTCATCCATCTCCTAACCCACAGGCACATCAGGGAAGCTTCAGGATGGCCTTCTCCAGGCTTTTTGCCAGCCTGTTCCTTGGAATCCTGCACTCCTCCTGCATTAAACAACCTTTAAAAATGGTGTTCAACTCCCAACTTGACCCAAACACGAAGTCTTGTTGCAGGAGCGAGGGATGTCTTCAAGATTCACTGCTTTCCAACTCACATGAGGTATCCAGTGGCTTGGATTCATCCACATGGCTTGGTGTGGTCCAGCACTTTCTTTGCAACCCATTCACTTCTGCTTTCTCGCAGGGGGACACCTACATTTCCAGTAGGTGTTCAAATTTAGCATTCCCAGATCGCCCTGTGAGGTCATTAATCAGATGGCTTCTTTCTTCTCTTCCTGAAGCAAAACGGAAGTAGCCAAATGACTTTTAAAACAGAGAATAAACCCGTGGCAAGGCAGTGAAATATGCCTGTAAGATTGCAGGCAGAAACTGCTTTTTCTTGGCAAGGTATTTTAAGCCTGGAAAAGGAACCAAGTATCATAAATGGAGATGCCTGACACATCCTCAGCAACAGAATAATTGCAGGGCTAATCCAGAATTAATCATGTGGTGTTTGAATTGAATGATCATTAATCCAACAATATTTTGTAAGTTGTGAATAAATTGCCAGAAGAAATAATTTCATTCCAATACACTGCAGCACTTCAACTTTGATTAACATTTTAATTAGTAAGAGCTGACTGAATGGGGAGATGTTTAACTTGTGGCACACATTTGCAATTTTCCTTTTTTTTAGGGGAAGTAATTGTGTTGAATTGAAGAAAGAAACAGAAATTAAAATTCAGACACTAACATCAGATCACAAATCTAAGGTAAGCAAACAGCCAATTTTAACACATGCAGCATCTGAAAGGGAGATTTTTGAGACCCAACTGGTAGTTAATTTTCTTGGAAGCATATGAATGATTTTCAGCAATAATAGCATGTTGAAAAGAATGGGAGTAATTGAGTGTCTAAAAGTGTTTCTTCAAAGAATTTTTAAAAGCACCATCAATTTCCTGCTGTTTTGAATTGAAGAAAGTGCCATATCCATTCCTCACGAAGCAAAACTGGTCATTTGTGTTGGTTTTAGCTAAACAAAGAGAATATGTGTTACATGAAATTTGGATGCTAAATACTTCCCCAAAATATATCCATAAAGAAGCGTCTTTTTCATTTTCCGTCATTGTCGCCATGGACAACGTTTCTGGTCTGTCTCTTAGGGTGGGAGGAGTCCAAGTTGCTGTTGGACCCAGTGCCTTCTTATTTCTAGTAATTTTTTCCCCCCATTGTGTAGTTGCTTCGTTTTCTTCAAGGTGCTGGAGAATAAAGGTGCTCTGGGACTCAACTTCCATCCCTTTGGAAAAGCTCGTGGCTCACACCGAGTTGCTTAGAGCTGCTTCCTCTCTACTTCTGTACTTCTTGTGTTCTCTGACTTCCTGTTCCCTTTGGCACTTATATCCATGACTTGCTGACATGCTTTCAAGTTTCTGAAAGATATCCAGACTAGAGGGTGGCAGGGACACCAGAAGGCTCATCCATGTGCAAAACATCTGGAGGGAGAAGAGTGCTGGAGACTGACCCAGTAAAAGCTGAAACCTGTGAAAAGAATCAGACAAGTATAGAAAATACACATCCACATCCTTGAGACTAGAATCAGTTACTGTTCATCTTGTCTTCTTTTAACTTTATTCTTTGGTTTTATCGTTTCACGTGGAGAAGATCTTGGTTTTCTAAACAAGTTTGTTTTCTTGTTGCTGCTCTCTCAGCTGAACACGTAGCAAGCCCTCCAGGAATAAGACCTAATGTGCACTCTTGTCTCCCCATCTTCTTTCCCTATGAAAAATCTAGAACTGGTGCCTTAAATAAAACCAAACTTACTGGCAACCTAGAAAATACAACATTCATTAATCTCTTAGTGAAATAAACTCTCTGAGGAGCACTAGCTCCTAATCATCCAGACATAAGCTCCAAAACTCATTTGAAGTTATATTATATAGAAAATTCTTTGCTGTGGTCCCTGCTTCTCACCTGTGTCATTCACAGGCTGGAGTCAAGAGGTGTCATTTGTACACAAGGGGCATCCAAATGTTCATTAATCTTCCAAATCCAATAAATGTGACTCATCTTCTCCCTTTCCACAAATATATGCAGTTTCTGGGTTGTGTTCCTTTTAAAATCCTGCTTTCAGACTGGTTCCCTTCAATTTAATCCATATCTGGAAAAAAAAAAAAAAGATTGATTTTTTGTTCACTCCCATGTCAGGTTTTAGGATGACATTTTGAAAGGAGACTTAAATGTAAGACTCAAATATAAGACTTGAAATGCCAAACTTCTGTGTACTGGATAATTCCCAAAGAACTCTTCTGTAAGTCATCTCCCTCTCTGGTTTTCTCCAGTGATTTCCAGTGTCTTGCTCACTGTGGTTCCATCAAAATCGTCCGGATTATTTACTGACTTCTTTTGTTTCAGTTTCCTTGTGTGGCCCCTTGAATTATTACTGGAGATCATGCAAAGGTTTGCAAGCCACAGGTTGGAAAACAGTGCTCAAGACCACAGGGAAATTAACTTTTATCTTAGATGAATGTAGGTGCAATTAAATTAGATTAAATTCTGAGATGCTGAATGCATTACACTGATATAGTGGGAGTTTGATTAATTAACAGTTGTTCAGCATTTCGCAGCATTTGGCCCACTAATTTTGATATCAGATTGGAACATGGTTCAAGCTTTAATTACAGCTCGTGTCCTCCAGTGCAGCTCTGTGCCACAATATGCATGTCCACCTTTAGCACCAGAGACCTCTTCATGTAACAAAGCTCCTCCTGTCACGAGGAAACGTCCAGCCCAAGTTTGACATGAAATATTTAAATTAAATTAGATCCGAGTGTCCCAACGTGTGCTTCACACACAATTAACGTAGCAAATGCAAATCAGTCCCCTGCATTAGAAAAGTGGGTCCCTGTATCAAGCAGGCAGAGGATGAAAAGGAAAAAAAAAAAAAAAAAAAGGAAAGATTTCTTCAAAGATCATTCCTGCTTGAACTTAGTGACTGAACAAACATCTTGCATATAAGCTGTGCAAAATAAAGTTCCTTATCAAGATTTTAATTAGTCTCTTAGGCCCAGTGAAGGAACAGATGAAAGGACAGGCTGGCAAACAGAGTCTGTAGAACAGGAAAGAGAGAAGTTAGCTAATGGTTATTTTTCCTATCCTTTAGGACAAGCAACACTGCTTTAGTAGTGGAAAGTAGGACAAGAGCACAGCCCAGTGAAAATGAAATAGTAATTTTATCTATGATGCTAATAAATTGGAGAAAAGCAGAGATGTACTCTGAATTTACTACATCTGAACTTTGAAGTGTAACACAGATCCACAGCAAAATTGGATTTCAGATGTTTTAATGGCCATGAGTTCTAAGTTCTTCTGAATCCTGAGTCATATTTGAAGTCTTATAACTGGTGTTTGGCACATCCCTTACATCCTTCTCATCAGGTTATATATTGCTGTACCTGAAATGAGACTCCTGATTTGATGGATACATAATTTAAAGGAAAGCTTCTCTACCTCTCACATCCCTGGAGAAAAACTCGTAAACAAGTTTTGTTTCTTAGACTGCATGCTGGTTCTGGAATTATCAGCACATCACTGGCTCATCTGCCCATGAGCAGAGGCAGGGTTTTTGTGATTATTTCCTTCTCAGGTTAAATACTGAAGGTATTGTAGTACTTGCTGTAGTCTCCTCGCAGGGTTCCTCTCTGGGAGTTGGAATCCATGATCCTTATGATTCCCTTCCAGCTTGGGATATGATTCTTTGGTATCAGTGTACCTGAGATACAGAACTCCTTGCCTTCACGTTCACTCTCTAGTTAATAACATTAACCATTTAAAAACAATTATCACGTTATTTATTTGCAACAATACCCTTGAGTCTTTGTTTCCCTGCATTTACTTGGGCTTCGTAAACAGTCTTTGCAACTGAGTCACTAAATACTTGCTTCCCTACCAAAATCCAAGCATTTATTTTGACTCATTTTAAAATGGAATCCTCCTGTTTTTCTGGCTCTGAAGGAAGCACTGCCTCATGAACACCTTAGTAAAAACGCTGCTCCCTCTGACTGCTCCTCATCCTTCACATCATTTCATAGTTGACAGGCTGTGGCTTAGTAGTACATTTACCCACGAGCACAAAAATAAATGGAGCTCATTTTGATGGAGGTACACTCGCTCTTAAACACCCTGATGATTTAGACCTGTATTGGTCGCACCAACTTCTACCTCAGAATGCTTTTGTTGTTTTCTGACAGCTGCAGGAAACTCCAGGTTGTTCTCTATCAGTTGCTTCTGCCTCCAGCCTTACCTGTTTTGATGTGGGATCACTGTTTAGCTGTAGTTAAATGCAAATGTGGTCTTTAGGTAGTGGTGACCCTGATCTGTTCCAAAATTGTTTGCCTTTTTTCATTAGGTGTCCAACTTTATTAGGCAACATGAGAGGACCTTCAGAGGAGCTGAGATACTGGCATCAGTCTCTCACTTTCTGAGTCCCATTGCGGCGATTTTTCATGTAAAAGATCAAGATTACTTTGGTAGAAGGTGACCCAGATGTTATTAATTACTGTAGTAGCAGTTCAAATGATTACCTGAAAATAGGTTTATTGGGAAGCACATTTTATACACCATCTATGGAAAAGTAGGATAGCATGTCAAAATACCCAAAGATAATTATTACAGGACAATAAAACATATCTTTCTATTAGCTTCTTTTCGAAATCATTGAGTGTGATATGTTATTATAATAACAATTCTGGTGATTTAGACTTCTTAATATTGTCTCTTGGGAACATTCCAAAACTTTAATCTCATTATTCTTGTGAGTCTTGGGAGATAAGAAAGAGAAGAAACCTTGTCAGATTCCCTGCTGACTTAATGAATATAAAACAAAGATATGTAGCCCATCTTCAGTTTCAGGTTGTATTAAACACAGGATTTCTCTGTAAACTGACTGTGTGTGTAAAACTGTCTCCACAAAATGAAAGACCGTCTTTAAGCCCTCAGAGAAATCCTGCTCACTATGTTTTTCCATTGTTAAGTTCAGAATTTTTGATATATATGTTTTCTCTTGGCAACCAGAAATGGGAAACCATTTTATTATGAACTCAGTGTTAGAGAAGGTTTTAAAATAAGAGTGGTACAATCAAGAGCTTATCTGTTTATGGCACTTCAGATAATAATGTCCTAATAGTTGGGGATTAGTTTACATCTGTTTTTATAGGAAGTGGTAGTGTCCTTGGTGGCTTTGTTACCCTGTGAGGCAACTTCATTAAATGTAACTGCATTTTTCGCAATTCAGCTGCATTCTTTACAACCTGTTTTCTGATTGTCTTTACATCACCTTCAGCAGCAGGAAGAGTTGATCCCCTAGCCTATCTGAGCACCTCTAACAAAGCTGCTGTGACTTCCCCACAGGTCAAGGAGATTGTGGCTCAGCACACTAAAGAGTGGTCCGAGATGATCAACACGCACAGCGCCGAAGAGCAGGAAATCCGTGACCTGCACCTGAACCAACAGTGTGAACTACTGAAGAAACTGCTGATTAATGCTCACGAACAACAAACCCAGCAGCTGAAGTTCTCCCATGACAGGTGAGCAGGGCAGTGCTACCTGGTAATGTGGTTTGTGTCTGCTCTGGGTTGTGGTTTACTCTGTGTGTTGGCAGCTCTGCATTGCTGTCAGAGATACTGGGCTGGATGTGTGGGAGAAGGGAAAGAAGTGATCAGGCCAGGTTTAGGGAGGTGAAGGAATGTGCTGCTTAGCTGGTTTGCATTATCTGAGGTTCACTAAAGGCAGCAGATGCAATAGTAGTTTGCATCGACTTCACCCTGGGACTTGAATTCAGAGGCTGGAAAATGAGAAGTATCAAATATGGAAATATCCTTTGGAGTTGCTGTCAGTTATGGACTCATGTTTATAGCACTGGTGGTTATATGAAAGATCCATGGAAAGCGAGGTCATAAAAACAAAGGGCTTCAGGACAAGCTACATTAGACTGCTGACTTATCTTCATACAATGTCACTGGGAATACAGAAGATACTGCATGACACTGCTGCTTTTCTACTTAACCATCCTGCCCATTTGAAATTGAATAAAATTAAATACACATCGTATTCCCAGTGCTAAGAATGGCAGTAATAGAGGATCACTGTTTTATGTTATGATCTATTATCCAAAGCAGTCTAAAAGCATATGAACATACACGCATATATACACATATGTATATAGATTTGTATGTAATTGGCTTCAACATCTTTCACATAAAAAGCAGGGGGGGAAAGGAATAAAGAAATCACATTTGAAGAAGGAATTGAAATGATTTTTTAAACTCCTGAGAGAAAAAACAGCTTATCTTTGCCTCAGAGAGAACACATGCTGGGACCTGCAAGCTTTCCATCCAACAGAGAATTGTCCCAGCAAAAAGCTGGTAGTGAGCTCATCTTTATGTTAATCTCTGTGTTAACCCATCTATTCAAGGGTCCTGCAAAACATACCCAGTCAAATATGAAGTCCAAAAATTGTTAAGTTATAATACAAATTCATAATTCAAAAGTTATTCGCCAGAGGAAGGTGCAGTCCTTGGTGGTGTATGTCCAAATCATACACAGCCCAGGAAATCACATCACCTTCTTGGGGTTTTTTGGGGGGGTTTTTTGAGTCTTTTTTTCTATCCTATTTGCTATTCACCACAATGCTTAAAAGATAATTAATTAAATTAATACCCCGTGGAAGTAAGGGGGTTTTGTTTTCTTTTCCATACGTATTTTCATAGTCTTTTAACTTTACTGGAAGCTGTCGTTCCAGGCAGCTGTCATATATACACTAAGGCAAAGTTTAAATTTTTTAAAGCTTTTTTTCCTCATAGTTCTAGTCTTAGGGTTCAGAATTTCTTATGTTTAAGCAGCCCTCTGTCATTTTTTGTACATGATTCTTATATTCTTAGCAGTAGATCTTGTTTTCTTGTTAGAAATCATTTGTGTTTAGTCCATGTATTGCTCTATTTTCAGAGCTACTAAGAACTAGATCTGAAAATCTACATCCTGATAAATGCTGAGAACTTTCTCTTCTCAGCTTTCCCAGGAGTACCAACCTTCAATATTCTTTCTGCTTTATTCATTGCAATTTAGTGCATTTGGGAATTCATGTGTAAGTCCTAAATGCGCAGA